GCGGCTGTCAGGAGCAATGTTCTTCTGCAGTGCCTATTTATAGGGGATGGAAGGAATAGCAGAATCGTAGGATTGTAGAAGTGGAAGGGATCTCAAGGGCCATCTAGTCCAACCCCCTGCAACGCAGGGATCACAGCTAAAGCATCCCTGACAGATGGTCACCTGACCATCACAAGGCACTAGCAAGAGTACAGCAAGGGGGGCTCTTGACATCTCAGTGACAACGAAGGGGCAAGCAAATGCTGGCTAATGAAAGAGGAAAAGCAGTGGCCACCATCTGACTTGAGCAAATCCTGTACCGAACCTACTGCTCTACTGGTTGTTTTGAAGGTCTGTTTACAACACTAAGTGCAATCGGTGAGACACCAACAAAGGTTTTTCTTCTTTACCTTAGCCTTTGAAATCTAGCAGGATATTGTTTGGAGTTGGACTAAAATGGTTTTGGGGATAAGGAAAAGACTGGTCAAGTTGGGTGAGCAGGCAAGCTTTTTAGTTGCAAGAATGGGCTTGGCATAACTAAAGAGATGGGCAAGTGCCAGTGATATTCTGCCATAAAACTTAAAGAGCTGGAGAGGCAAATCTCCCTTCCTTCCTCCTTCCCCGGATTGGAAATGATATCATGGTGTCTGTGTGCAAAAAATTAAAACAACCTCCAGCCATGGCTGGAATGATGCTGAGATGATCAGCAAGAGATCTCTGCTTTCTCCCTCCCCACCCCTGAATTGACTAACTCAATCTCCCGCCCCCTTGCTCTTTGTTCACTTGTACATTAATCACCCCCTCCAAACAATGCAAGGGTTTCACCCCACCTGTCAAAGGAAAGGCCATCAAGAGCCCATTAAGAAATGTGTGCCTGGTTATAAAATGGATGGGCTGCCCCAGAATCAGCCTCGTCCCTAACCATTAAGACTAAGCGCTTCCATCTCCAGGTGAAAGGCTCCTCCGATGAGGAGAGGGGCCTCCTGTAATTGAGGTCATAATTATCCGTCAGTTCTCTAATCATATTTATTGAGCGGCCCACCTTGACTGAGCTGCAGCGGGGTGCCTAGTCATTTTCATGGATCGGACGACAGACAGTGTGATCAATACGGTCTTTAGGAGAGTTCAGACCAGGAAACAAAGAAGAAGAAGAAGAAGAAGAAGAAGAAGAAGAAGAAGAAGAAGAGGAAGAAGAGGAGGAAGAAGAAGAAGAAGGGGAGGAGGAGGAGGAGGAAGAAGAGGAGGAGGAGGAGGAGGAGGAGGAAATGAGGGGCATCAAGGGCAACTTGGACCAGGGCAATGGGAAAGAGAGAAGGGGGAAGGGGAGTCCTGTGCTCTTTGGCAAATCTTTGCTTCCCAGGGCCAGGCCCCTAGAGGGAAGACTCTGACCATAGGCGGCAACTCTGGGAGGCCCTGGGTGCCTTGGCACCCACAAAATTTCCACTGTGGGTGCCCCAGCTCATCCATGGGCAATGGGTTTCAGCAGATGCCCTGAGGAGGAGGAGGAGGCCCTGGTCTAGTAGCTGCCGCCACGGCACCAGAGAGCCAGTGGAGGCAAGGCGGCAGTGGCAGGCAGAGACTGAACGGCACTCGCATGCACGAGATGGTGCAAGTGATATGTGTCACGTCACACCACTGGGCACCCACAATCTGGGGCCCAAGTCGGCGCCACTGACTCAGAGGCAGGCTGTGCTAACCTAGTGCCTGCTGGATATTTCAAATTACAGCTCCTGTTAGCCCCAGCAGGACCAGTCCAAGTTGGCATTTTGGCACCTGAGGTGAACCACAAAACGCCAGGCAAGATCTGCATCAAGAACAAGGGTGGTGGGTAATAAGGATCGACACTGGGAACTGCTGCCCCTGTGGATCCTGCCGCCTGAGGCAGTCTCCTCACCTTGCCTCCCAGGTGGGCCACCCCTGAGCCCCAGTATTGTATGGCTACGTTGGCAGGGGGTCCTGATGAGACAACTGGAGGGCCACAGATTGGGAAAGGCTGGCTCTAGGAAAACTCTGAGGAGACGTTTGTTTTATTATTGTTTTTATTATTTATTTTATTGTTTTTATTATTTATTTTATTGTTTTTATTTTGTATTTTTATGCTGTGAACCACCCCGAGATCTGCGGGTGAAGGGCAGTGTGCAAATTTAATAAATAAATAAGAAGAAACAAGAAGTTAAGACATGGAGGCACCCAACTTGATGAAGGACAATCATTGCTAATACCTTCATCCTACCTCCCTCACCATTATATTTTATTTACAGTATTTCACAAAATGTATAGATCACTTGACTGCAGAAAACCTCATGGGGGGGTTATCGATGGCTACCAGCCACAGTGGCCTTGCTCTGCCTCCACAGTTTGAGGGAGTGGTGCTTCTGAATAGCAGTTGCTGGAAGCCGCAGGAGGGGAGAGGGCTCTTGTGTTCGAATCCTGCTTGTGGGTTTCCCACAGGCATCCGATTGGCCACTGTGAGAAGAGGATGCTGGAGTAGATGAGGCCCTATTGGTCTGATCCAAACGGCTCTTCCTTTGTTTCTATGTTAAAGCAGGAGGCTAAAGGGTCCTGCCCACCTGCCTACCTTCCCAGTTCCGTCTTTTGCTCCCTTTCCTCATCACTTTCCTGATGGAAGAGGCCCTGGCGCTCCATCTCTCAAGCGGACTTGGATCCCTCTTGCCAACAAGAGCGCTTTCCTCTGTGAGGGAGGAAGGAACTTGCTGGAAACAGCCCTCTAATGACGGCTTTTTGGGAAAGCGCTCCCAGCACTTGTTCCCCACGTGATCACGAGCACAAACCCAGCACTCTTGCTCGGCTCCTGGAAATGAAAGGGGGAAAGGTCTAAGTGGTGTATAATTACGGGATCGGAGTCACTAATTATCATCCCACAACCAAATGGGTGCTTTGCGACAAAAGCCACAGGCTCCCAAAGGGTTGGAGCTGCCTCTTGCTTCACACCACAAAATTCCCGGCGAGAGGTGGTGGTTGTTTTTAAAACATCTGCTGTCCAATTTAAGGAGGCCAATGAAAGGGAGGGAGCTCTCCCTCTCCTAACCGACTCAAAAAGCTTAGCTCCGGCCAAAATCCACAAGGATTTCTCCTCTGAGCTGGGGTTCCTTGCTCCAGAGGTCAGACATGGAGCAGGGAAAGTAAAAAGAGGAGAGTGACTCTGAGAACATGCAGAGGGCCTTTCGCTCAGCAATAAAATTATTATTATTTAGAAGACATCTGAAGGAAGCCCTGTTTGATGTTTTACTGCTGTTTTAATATTTTGTTGGGAGCTGCCCAGAGTGGCTGGGGCAACCCAGTCAGATGGGTGGCATATAAATAATAAAATTGTTGTTGTTAACACCCAGACCAACTACCACACTTTTGCAATAAGCAGGGGAAGTCTTCCTAGGCAGCAGACAAGTCTAGGAGGCACCATTCCATTTTACAAAGGATGCATCTGGTCAACTCCAGATATTGGCATTGAATAAATAAGTTTATACGCAGGGCTGCCTCTGAAGACAGCTCAGAAGCTTCAGCTGGTACAGAATTCGGCAGCCATGTTGCTCACTGGGACAAGATGGTTTGAGCATATCACACTGATCCTGGCCTGACTGCACTGGCTACCAATTAGCTTCTGGGCCCAATTCAAAGTGCTGGTTTTGATCTATAAAGCCTTAAACATCTCAGGACCACAATATGAGAAGGACAGCCTCTCCCCATATAAACCACCCCAGACTCTGAGATAATCTCCTGAGGCCCTTCTTCATGTGCCTCCTCCACATGAGGTCCAGAGGGTGACAACATAAGAACAGGCCTTCTCTGTAGTGGCTCCCCTTTTGTGGAATGCCCTCTCCAGGGAGGATCACTTGGCACCTTTGCTTGCCATTTCCACTCTGTGCTGGGCAGCAAAATACCTTGGGCTGGCACTGGACATTTGGGAGAAAAGATCTCCAGCTCCAGATCTCCAGAAGGCATCCATGATGATATCTACTGGAGTTGATTTAACATGTCTTTCTTTCTTTTTTATTTGTGAAACACCTTTCAGATAAGTCTCAATGTGACTTACAACCACAGAATAAAAGCAACTGGAATAGGTTTTAGAACAATGCAGAAAACAACTAAAGATGAGTTTAAACACAAGAGAAATGAACACCCAAAGCAGAGGCCTAAAAAAGAAAGAAAGCAAGATGTCTTTTGTCCACCTAGAAAAGCTTATTGAAACAAAAACTTCAGTTTTTTCCAGGAAATACAAATAGTACTTTAAAAAAGGGACAATATCACAGAGCACTGCTATTTATATGGAGCTTCCATGTTTAAATACAGTCAGTCTCTGAATGCAAGTTTGATAGGGATACAAAGGTAAAGAAAAAGCCAGAGGTTTGTTGCCTGCCTGACTTGCATTTTTCCTGGATATATTTGGCAATCTTTGATGTGATCCAAGTAGACCTTAGGTTGTTCAGTATGATGCTCTCCCCATATGTTGCCTGTTCCTTCACTTGACCATTTACCCCAAATAAAAACACCCACCCACTTCATTGTCACTGTTGGGTTCATAGCAGCTTGCCAAATATAAGAGGGGGGAAATCAGTTCGGCTCAGATTATTGTGGAAGAAATCGCCTGGTGATGATTCCCTCCCGCTCTCCGATTTCGCTCAGATCCAGAGCCTCCATATTACCATCCTCATCTCTCCAGGAATCTAATAACACTCGTCCACTTCATCTCTCAGGTGCCTGATTTATTAGGTAATTTCTTTCCCCTCCATGGGGCTGTCCTTGTTGTCATCCATATAATAGGATGATGGAAGGCCAAGCCAGAGACAGGAGGCATTATAAAAAAAGGGACAAATACAAGCCACCTGAACTTGATGGCCCCCAAATCGATGGAGCGCAAATGACCCTGCTTTTGGGGTTGATCTAGGATGGCTGGCGAGAGGCGGGGAGGGCGGTTGGAAGAGAGATCAGACAGCTTTGCTGCAGGCAATCACTTCTTTGGAGAGTTCAGGGTGGTTGAAAGAGGAACCACGACTGCTTGGGGTGGCCCATGTGGTGTAATTGTTAGCGTGTTGGATTTGGACCTGAGAGACCAGGGTTCAAATGCCTGCTTAGCCATGAAGCTCACTGGTAACTGGCCCAAGGTCATGCAGTGAGCTTCTTCAGGGCTGAGCGGAGATTTGAACCCTGGTATCCCAGGTCTCTGTCTGACACACTAACCACTACACAACACAGGCTCTCTCTACTACACACCAGGCACTGAGAATTTCCTGTTCTTCCCTTCTTTTAACCAGCTCTGATCACATCCACACACAGCAGCAAGAAGGCAAGGGAGGCTCCTTGGTGCATTTGAGCCGTAGATGCAAAACAGCACCCAAAAGCATCCTTTTGCTATTCAGTTGAGCTTGTGCTGAATCTGTGGCAGAGATGTTCCAGGTAAACAATGTGCCTGGGCTCCACTGGGCAAGAGTGTGAGCTCAGGTGCATGGTCTCAGCTGGCCGTTGCTGACATCTGCACTGCTGCTGCTACCTTTGTGATGATTGCAGCCTACGGAAAAGCCCTGGAGAGTCAGCCAGACCAGGAATGTGGCTCCTCCCACCCGCCATTAATTGCTGTTTTCACCCATGCCCCACAGTAGGAAGGGGCAGATTGCAGAGCCTGAGTTTTGATGTGCCCGCCTGGAGCACGTCTGCAGGTTCTGCTTGAGACCAGCCTTCCAGGGGTCTTTAAAAGCCACTGGGGAGAGGTGTGTTGAGCAGGCAACAGCTGGCGTGGAGGTGTGAGATGATGAAGTTGAGGGGAAGTGATGATCACTTCCTCCTCCCTTTCTGTTGTTCTCTGAAGGCTTCCTAAGCTTAAGCAGGGGCCTGGTGGAATCATTCCCCAGCCAGGCAGCCAAACAGGCTCAGCCTCTCCTAGTGGCTGCCTGGGCCAAACTCCCAGCTATAAAGGAAAGTGAAACTCAGCTCCCAAGACAAATAGAAGAGTCTGCTAGATCAGGCCAGCGGCCCATCCTGCCTAGCATCCTGTTCCCCCCGGGGCTGACCAGATGCCTCTGGGAAACCCTCAAGAAGCACAAGAGCCCTCTCCCCTCCTGTGGTTTCCAGCAATTGACATTCAGAAGCATTACTACCTCAGGCTCTGACCATGGAGGCAGAACATAGTAGCCATGGATAGCCCTCCCCTCCATGAATTTGTCCAATCCTCTTTTAATGACATCCAAGTTGGTGGCCATTGCTGCCTCTTGTGGGAGGGAGTTCCACAGTTTAACTAAGGGCTGCATGAAGAAACACTTGATTTTAACTGTCCTGAATCTTCCAGCATTCAGCTTCGTTGGAGGTCCATGGGTTCTGGCGTTAGGAGAGAAGGAAATAAACTTTGCATCTAAGAGCCAAAGCCATTTGTTTACAAACCGTTTCCAAAGGAAATAAATGCCATGAATGGAATGTGGCTTGGGCCTTGTCTTCAGTCCCTTGCTCGTGACACAGAATTGTCATCCTTGCCTCCAAGTGAAGGCATCCAGTGAAGTGACCAAGGGGTAGCGCTGGCTTCTGCTCTTTGGGTCCTGCTTTTGATGGCTCCATGTGGCCACAGAGGTTCCTGTGGCCTGTTGTGGTCACGGTTGCACAGCTCCTGTTCATTTCAACAGAGTCTCCAAATGCAGGGAAATTCCCGGTAGATAATAAAAGCCCTCTGGTTTAGTTTAGTTTATTAAATTTGCAGATTGCTTCACACCCCCAATGGCAAGCCGGAAGTGATTTACCGTAAGGCACAGTGGATAATAGAATGTTAATTAAAACAATGCAGCAGCCTTCCAGGCCATTGCTTTTTTGGAACAGGAGTCAATCACATATCAGCACACTAACCCTTTCCCCAAAATGTTAGGCTTTTTGTAATAAGGGAAGTGATAAGAGAATATATTGGTCAACTGTTCCACTTTAAGCAGAACATCCCATGCATTTTCAAGCTCTGTGATCTTGCACAAGCTCACAATCTGGCACATTTTGCCCCCAAAAATGCATTTCCCGGCTGCGTGATATTGTGTGGTTCACATAACTTGTGCAGGAGCGGGGTTGGGAAGACATGAGTCCCGGTTTCTGGCATCAATGTGTTGGAGTGTATGAGAGAGCTCACTGGAAAGTGTGGGCTGACACTTTGATTTCAAACTTCATGGACTCCAACTAGTTACCTGATGTCATTGGGATGCTGGGTGATTGACAGATGGGCATCCTCATCAAGATGTCAAATTGGTCTAATGGGGGAGCAGGGGAAGGTATGAATTCAGCCCACCCTCCCAATCCACTTGAAGAAGGATATTGACAAGCTGGAATGTGTGCAGGAGAGGGTGGCCAAGATGACTGCGGGTCTGGAAACCAAGCCTAATGAGGAACAGTTGAAGGAGTTGGGTATGCTTAGCCTGGAGAAGAGAAGACTGAGAGGTGACACGATAGACATCTTCAAATATCAGAAGCACTGACATGTGGAAGATGGAGCAAGCTTGTTTTCTGCTGCTCCAAAGGGTAGGACCCAAATCAGTAGATTCAAATGACAAGAAAGGAGATTCTGACTAAACAACAGGGATAAACACTTTCGGACAGTACAAGCCATTTGACAGTGGAACAGGCTCCCTTGGAAAGCGGTGGACATTGCTTCACTGGAGGTTTTTCAACAGGGGCTGGATGGCCACTTGCCAGGGATTCTTTAGCTGTGTTTCCTGCACTGAAGGGGTTCAACCAGATAACCTTTAGGTTTCCCTTCCAACTCTAAAATCCTATGATTCTATTACTCCTGGCCTTGTTCACCCATCCACCCAGCAGAGAAGCTCCAAAGGGTCACTCTCTTTCTCCGGAAGGAAACTCATCTATCTTACTGCTGTGTTATGAAGAGGTTTTTCAATTAATAATAATAATAATAATTCACTGGAGTGTGAGGGGGTGGTCACAGGAGGGTAAACATTCAGGAGAGGGCAGGATTTAAAACTGATGTGCCGGCTCACAGAGACTGTCCCCATCACATCTCACACGCTTGCTGTAAACATCCTCCCTCGTGGTTATTAACAGGACAGACGGAAAATGCCACAAAGGGGAATTAAGCACTGGGGTTTTGTTTAGGCGTCTTCTCAGCGGGTGGTCTGAGCAGTCATCTTGAGGGACCCCTCGTGAAGACCACACCAAACAATGGAGAGGCGGGGTCACAACAGAAATGTGGAGAGTTTCGGGACAGGGTGTCCGTGAAGGGTTTGCATACATGCTCTGAGGCCAATGGAACCATTAAAAATAGTCATGATTCCCCACTCCTTCAACCGATCTTTATTATTTGATGTAGCATGCCAGAAAAGATTGTTTTTTTGGCATTTGGGGGTGTGAGAGAATCTACAGTGGCAGAATCATGAAATCCCAAGCTCTTGCCAGTTCAGGCAGGCAATGAGGAAGGTGGGTGGGTGAGCCACAGGCTTTTAAATCCTTGAGGTGGGGGGGACAGTGGTTTTTTGCCTCACTGGGAGGGGAAATGATTTATTCATTTATTTCTTTATTAGGAGCCCTTCACCCTAAGGACCCAGGATACAAAACAGCAATGAAACACAATATAAAAACAATTCAAAAGAACTTGCAACCGTAAAAATAACGTGGGTCTGAAAAACCTCTACCTCAAGTGTCAAAAGTCAGGATAAAGAGGTGCATTGCCAGCATTCTCCGAAAGATGTATAATGAAGGTGCCAGGCACACCTTTGTGGGGAAGGAGTTCCAAAACTTAGGGGCCACCACAGAGAAGGCCCAGTCCCAGATCATCACCCCCCTCTGAGCCTTGGAAGGTGGAGGAACTACTAAAGAAGGGCCCCTCTGGAGATTTCAGCACCCAAGAGAAAGAGGAGTGCTCTTTCAGATATTTGGGGCTAGGCCTTGTTTAGGGCTTTAAACACCAATGGGAACACCTTGAATTAAGCCCAGAACAAACTGGCAACAGGCACTGCTGTTTTAAAATAGAGGTGACATGAGATCAAAATGAAACCCCGGCCAGTAATCTGGCTGCTGCAGAAACTGAAGTTTCTGAGTTGTCTTGGCACCATAAGCACATTGCAACAATCCAATCTGGAAGTTACCAGAGCATGACTTGCAGTGGCCAAGTCATCTCTGTCCTCATAGTTGGCGAATCATCCAGAGCTGAAAAAAAGCACTGAGATCTATGGGAGGGAGCTGATTCCAATGGGAGGCGAAATTAGTACAGCAGCTCCAGGCCAGCTGTGGAGGTGTGTTGTAGGAATGGGAGGCCTTTGGACCCAGCGGATCTCCTGGTCCACCCCTGACATGCCCCTTCTTCTTTGCCATTCCAACCACTGGAGAATGATTGGTGGAGCAGCAAGGGTGGCAGATTTGTCAGCACCCGCAACAGCGATGGTTGTCAGGGCAGACCCATGTCTCTGCCAACCTCTGGACCCTGAAATATGCTGTTTCAAGGGTACCAGCTGTGGGGAGAGGGGTTGTAGGAACCAAGGATTGGGGCTGAAAACATCACAGGATGGTTTTGGGGATGCAGGCTGGCCACCTGCATGAACACAACGAGACATCACAGGAAAAAGAGCTTTCAGATCAGCCACATGAAAAATGACCAGAACACAGAAGCTTTGTATTGCAGTTGCACGAGCCTAGGGGTGCAAGGAGGCAGCCATTTCTAATCTGTCCTGTGTTTACTGCAATCAGCACTGTTTCTTATCTGCTGCAGTTCAGCTTCTGCTAAAACTCAGATTATTCCTCTCACTCTCTGCTCCGGCTGAAACTCTTGAAATTAATTGTGCAATTAATTAAGTAAATAACTTTCAGCAGGTGCATTTCAGCAGAAGAGAGAGGTAAAAAAAAATGAGGCAGAAAAATAACATAATTATTGATGTAACATTTGTAGCCAAAAAACAAAAAACCAATTATAAAGTCTGCCACTCATATTTGCTGGCGTGATTTCTGTTCCTGACCTCGGGCAAACATGAAGAATGTGGCAATTTCCACTCCCCTTTCTGTTCCCAAGCAAATTCTCTGACATCCCTACATGGGCTCCAGCCAGCATGACTGATGGAAGGTGTTGTAGAAATCATCTGGAGGGCACCCGGTTGGGGAAGGCAGTGTTA